TCTCTTATTGTGCCAAATCAAAGTCTGACCTAGATCATTATCTGGGGCAGCATGGAGGCTGGAGCTAGTATAGAGCTTCCGAGGAAACAGTAAGAGTCAGCTTTCCCTTACTCATTTGGCTATTCAGTGACACACTGGTGCCACAGTGATGGTCTTTAACAGGATGCCCTCGTGGCACTGGTACCCGAGCTTTCCCTTGCTACCAGGCACATGGTTCCGGATGGTTCCAGGCCACTCTCCCTGTGCCCTGCCCAGGCCTTTCCTCCTAGAAGATGAAATCAGCTCAGGACCAGAAGAAAGAGCAGAGCTGACTCACAAAGCCCCAGGCAAACAGGACAGCATCCTAAAATGGGCCCTAAAAATAGCAATTATGAACAACCCATCTAATACACTGTACAAGAACTTGAATCTAAACACACAAGTATTTAGACTTCTGCTGTAAATCAGGTATAGAAAGAATTAGAGAAAAAATCCTTAATATATTCCCCTTGAGCCTCTGTAAGGAGTCGAGTCCTGCAGCAACTGCCGGAGAAGTCTTGTCTGCCCAATGTGCAATGGGCTCCTATCAGAGGAGGCATTTACAGGCACCATGATTCAGGGAATAGCATTTATTTTCAGAAAGGCTGCCAAAGAGCATAGGTGGTTATTCCAATCAGATAGAAAGGGCAGGGAAATGTTTAATGAATTAAAAATATTCATTTGTTGAAATGAAGTTTATATGTAAGGACTGTATGGGTGGCTAGTGGAGGGGGAAATGGAAGCATCAGTTTAGAAAGAAAACAGCATGTTTTATCTTTCTGAGCCTGGCATGGCTGTGATGTGAACGATGCCTTATATATGTGAAAATCAAAAGGTGTTTGTGGCATTTCTATTCCAGTTTTGCAGGAGAATCAAACATCTTCTCACCTATACTTGAGCCTGCACATCATTTACATTTCAGACCTGTTATGGCTTTTAAAAGCATGACAAATGAAACATAAAGGTTAAGCGATGAGCATTGTCACTGAGATGTGCAGAGTTTATCAGCACATCCCATCTGGTAGCAGCAGGCTGAGGAGGACCTGGCTTGGAACTATGTAGAATACAATGGATTATGAATATAGGATGCACACTGCGATCAACAAAATGATGAGTGAGATAAAGTAGATGCACAGGGTATGCGTATGCTGATCCGGTGTGAAAGGGTTTTCCAGGTAAGGCAGACTTGAAAACAGTGCCCCATGTGCTCCACCTGTAGGACACCACGAAATCAGCATGTCCACAGCTACACAGCATAAATCAGAGAATGCCTGTGGTGGAGATGAACGGGGAGCAGGCAGCACCAACAGCAGAATCCGCTCTGTCCCTCTGGAATAAAAACTTCCCGCTATTTTTGCCAGATGCCCAAGTTACATGCTATGTGGGCAGAAGCTGTTGCTCACAGACTGGCATTGACATGGCAGATAACAACACAGCCACTGCTCTTGGCAGCATTTCAGAGCAAGATTTTCACAAGGATTAACTGTGCTTGAACAATCTCTCCAATATATGAGGTACAAATATTCTCTTCTTCTCAATCAGACATGCAGGTCTTTCTTGTACAAACACTGTGGCCAGCAGATGGAAAACCTTGCCCTCCAGTTACGCAAAATGCCTTCAAAGACCCTGTGGTCGATTCTGTGGGTGCTGATGGAGGGCAGGACTGTGTTCCACAGTCTTCTCTCCAGCACTTCAGCCCTGCAAAGTAAGGATCATTGGCACATTCCTGTTCTTGCACAGCTTGGCTTTTGTGTGAGTACATTCTCCAGATAATTAGCTTGGAAGAATTCAGGGCAAGTCCTTTCCATCCTGATGCAGCAATGAGAATATTTATGGCAGCAAGCAGGCTCCGTCTTTAGCAAGCATGGTCCCTCCAGTCCAGATCCACTCACTGAAGTAACCACAGGAGGAGCAACGATGGGAGAATTTGTAAGGAAGGTTTTGTTTAACATGGAAAACAAAATCTGGAGAGCCAAGCTGGTAGTAGAGACACCACTGCTGGACTCAACTAGCTCACTTTCATATGGTCACTTCTGCTATCACTCTTCGGCCTGTGAACATCCTTTGCCTTTCTTCAAGTGGTGGCTCTTTTCCCTTCCCTCTCACACTGTTCTTTAGCTTTCCTTTCACATGTCTTCTGGGAGAAGAGGTATTACTGATCTGCTCTTCAGCAGTTCTGGGCCTAACAGCTGTGTTGTCCTTACTGATGCTGGGAAACTCAGATTCAGGCAAACGCTTTCTGCAGGTAATTTCAGACAGTAACTCTTGCCACTTATCAGTATCACAAAGAAACCAGAGGGTTTGGACTTGGGTGTTCCCTCAGCATACCTACACTCAGAAAGTAAATCTGTACCAGAGATCTTGTCCTTCTGTAAGCAACCATAACTGAACAGGTCCCAAGCTCACAATCAATGTTGGCGATGCTCTGTCAGGAAACCAACTGGCATTTCCTGCCTTTTTGTTAAAAAGACTCGCATTGTCATCTGTGGCGGCAAGAGAGAGATGGCAATTCCCAGAGCAGCAGTCAGATCTGGAGCAGGGATTCACAAGTGTCATAATTTCTATCGTTCCTACATGCAGGTATGGTACTGCTTGGTTTTTTGTCATCAACAACTTGATTTTGCATCAGATCTTTGTTGTCCCCTTGCCTGTGCTTCTGTGAATGTCTATAAACATCACATATGCACCTCTTTCTATCAAAGATTTTTATGAATAGCTGCCATAATAAGCTGATAAGAATCTCCAAATTTTTCTTGTAATTTGAGTTCATGTTGATGTGGGTATCAAAGCTCTAACACATCAAAGCAAATATAGGTAAACCTGGCTCTTGTTCAAACATCAGAAAACAGCATGTCTCCAGGATAATTCATCTTGGGGGCATCAGAATCATGCCTCAAAATGGATGTTCTGACTTGCTGTATGTATGGTCATTAAGCCCTCCACATACTTAGCAACATCTGATGAAGCTGTTTGTGTTAGTATTGCAGTGTTGTTGGTAAGAAAGCAGCCTTTGGTTTCTCTGCTGGATGGAGTACCTCTGACAAAGGGTGGCTCCCAAAATCCCATCCCTGATCAGACCCTATCTGAACTATGTTCTTCACACAACTTACCCACTATTGCATTAGTTTTTGATCTGAGGTCAGAAATGAAAGTGCATGTACTATGTAACACAGCTGACTGACTGTTGCTGTTAAAGGATCTGTTGTATTCACTCATCAGTCAGCCTCAGAAGCTGCTGCCTGTGATGTCTCTAGAAATGCAGTTCTAATGAACAAAGTTGTTGTTCAACCATATCAAACATATCACACTCACTCCAAACACCTTGTGTCACTCAGAGCCACAAATAAAATTTCTGTTTCCATATACTCAGTCTCCATCAGTAAAACGGGGGAAAATGGGGGAATGTCCATGTCTAAGTGTCCATACTCTCTCCACAAAGTTCCCATATAAATATTTGCATTTTCTGTTGGACTGCAGTGTTTGTTGTCAATAAATTTTAGATTTATTCATTCTAAACTGGCATAGAGACTAAACACACACTACCTGCCCATCCTCTCCACATGTGCTAAGGAGATAATGCTCTCTATTATCAAAGTAGGTTATTTTTTTGCTTCTTTCAAACTTTGGATCATTAAAATGTGATGCAGTTGAGGCCAAAACATGTCAAAATCTGAGAAGAGACTGGGTATTTGTGTGGCTGTCAGGAATACTCTCAGCTGCAACTAGTGAAGGGAGCCTTTTTTGTAAACAGATAAGTTAATCTCCAGTCCCCCACTATCTTTTTTGCTCTTGGATGATGCCTGTGGGGTGCCTGCAGCCATGCCCACAGGCTGGCTCACCATGCTGTACAGATGCCCAGGAGTCCCATGTACTTTGGAAAGCACTCAGGACCTGCATCCTCCAGGCCAGAAAGAGATGCAGCATGTCACACACAAGGACAAGTTGTTCCAAGGAGGTGACTGAGGTGACATTTCACTATAACCTATTGCCCTTTCTAGGGATATACCAGACCCCTACATAATATCTCTGCTGCCATCTGGGAGCTCTGACTTCAAGTCCTGTGTTACAGCAGTGTGGTACTGCGACATCACTACTTTTTTTTTGGTGTGCACTGTAACAGTGTGTAGGAGTTTCTTGGCACTCTAAGGATGGAATAGAAAGACTCACATTATATCATTAGTGATCTAATCTATGATGACTGCTCCTAGATGAACAATCTGCATTAAAAGTGAAGTACATGTGAAGTACCTAATTTTTCAGGAAGTATTGGGCTACCATCTAAACTGCCATGTCAGTATTCTCTGCCATCACTTACATCTGCAAATATGACACTTTTGTATTCTGTCTCTTGATTTGTTATTAGTTGTTTGCCTGGATACACGTGCTAGCAGTGCCTGTGGCTCTGTGTGGACTGCAATGCCCTTTATGAAGCTGGTTATTAAATGCATAGTTGGACTGTGCCCTGTTCCACTCAGGAGGAGCTCTGCTGCCAGCAGCACCAGAGCCCATGAAGCTGAGCCACGTAGCTTCTCCAACACCTCACAAAGTTGAAGGGAAATCGTAGGGACAGTGGAGTATCCCTAAGGAAGTCAGAGCAATGGTCTCAATCCTGCAACATGTTATTTTACATGGCACTGAGACAGCAAACAAGTGATTCAATGGTTTAGAAGAGTCTAAACTTCAGAAATGTTGTCTCCATTTAAAAAGGTGCAGTAGCATATATACAGCATATAGTTCAAATATTTATTTGAAATATTAATTTGCAAAAATATCCCATTAAGTTTCTGGTTTGTGTGGTTTAATAACTCCCTATTAAAGAGCAATTTATTCTTTAATAACTTTCTATGAAGAATTGTATATAATCCACTAGTAATAAAGTGTTACTAGATGATGCCATAGACAGTAGCTGTAATCTCTCTCCCTTTCAGAAATGTCTTTTGAATAAAGTTTTAAGTTGCAATAAAGAACTATAAAGCACTGTGTTATAATCAACCACAGTGAATTTTTTATGCACGCACGGAATTCTAATAAAGCATGCTGCCATTGTACTAACTACATCCTGCTCTTGTGTATGATCTCACTTGGAAGCTAAAGAGGATAAAGAGCTCAAAAAAACATTTGCTACGTGGCTGGCAAACAAACAGGGGACAACATATAGGTAAGGAGCTGAGCCATGGGAACACCTTGAATCTGACAAAATATAATGTTCCACTGAACCTGAAAGTAAATGAACCTTTCAAATGTGGCACTTAATCAAGCTTGTTGCGAAACCCAGCACAACTTTTTCCTCCCATACAGAAAATATTTCCTTTCTTGTAATACTTCCATGGACTCTTTCTTCCCTGGATTCTGGGCAAACTTTGAGTGGTTTTCAGTCAGTTTTCAGTCCTAGTTATCTGTGAATTCAGTGCAAAGCTAGGGGAGAACTAGCATTATTCAGACAGTGAGAAAGCACACCCTAAGAAGAGATTGGTTCTTAAAATAACCACCTGTTCAGTGCTCCAGTGAAAACTGAGATTACAGCCACAAGCTCTATCTCCAAACCTCCCCTCCTCTCTTGCCACTCAATCCTCAGAGCAGAACCACAGAAGAACGCCATATGGGAAATAAAATTGCCTGTGGCCTGACATGTTCTCGTTCCTGCTCCCTACTGAGCATTCACATAGTGTGAGCTGAGTAGGCACAGAGGCACAAGACTTTCCTCTGGATCTAGTTACCCTCTGCACAGCAGGTTTGCCACTCTTGGTGGCAAACAGACCAGCCCAGTTATCAGTGTTTTGTACTTCAGTTGCTAAAGCAAAGTTGTCTGTTATGGTCAAAGCCTATAGGATTTTTAATGCAATCAACCATCCAAAAGCTGAAAGAAATGTTATGGGAAGGATTAGTTGAGTTTCAGGGACCTGAATTAGAAACACGGTTTTAATTGATATTCAGTAGTAGTTTGGCACATAGATCTAGGAGCCCTCTGGAAATCCTAGACCAGGCCAGTGGGTGATCCACCATTTCAGCACTGTGCTCAGTAATTTTATCCTCAAACAATTTTAGTTAGGGACACTCCCAACATCTATCTCACAAATTACCTATGGAGTCACATCCCCTGCAGCACTGGTAGGATATTGTATCATGCATCTTTTTTAGCTTATGACTGGAAAAGATAAGATCTGAAAAGAATTTCGTGGTGAGGTAGGTGATGAAATTCTGCTGCTGTGTTTGAATACATCAGGCAAGAATTGTTTTGAGTCCTGAATATGTATTCGATTTCCTCAGGCTTCTAGGTGAGCATCTTCTGCCGAGGGAGTACAAGCATTGATATGCAGATAGAACACAATAACTATCAATACTCCAATGACACCTGGAAAACCAGGAAATACATTCTTCCAAAATAGTAAACGGACTAAGAGCCATTCATATGTTTAACATTAGATGCCAGAGAATGTGATGTTGCCTGTGTAGTCCCAAGTTTTATTTGTGTGCATAGGTAAATACAACTTAAATGATCTTTTTAGAGATGCTTATCAGTCCCTGCTATGCTTTGCACAGAAGGCATGGAAACAGTTATTCAGTATCAGGGAGAAGGGGGAAGGAGAGCACTGCAGGTTTGGCCCTTCTTCAGCTACCTGGATATGATCTGGAAAAGGGCGTATTTTATTTAACCCACAGCACTGGGCATGGTAGCCTAAGTTTTCATGCAAACACAGACAGTTTCTTCGAATGGTATGCAGAATAAATGAAGTTTAGCCACCAATGTCTGACAAACTGTGGGAAAGGTAGCTAGATGCTGGGATGCTTTTTGTAGTAGTATGCTTTATGGAAATAAATTACTGTGTGGTGATTTCCTGTAAGGCCCAGCATGTTGAAATGTAGGGAAGCAGGTAACAAGGCTAGGCCCTAACGAGACAGGCATAGCTTGCCCAGCTACCTCTATCTCTTACTGAGGCACTAGTGGGTAGAAAATGGACGTGCTAGGATCTGCCTGCTGGCTCCAAGCTGGGAGAAAGGTAACCACAAAAATACAGAAACAGAGAGTGGAAAAAATTATCCTGTACTTTGAATGCACCTACATCAAACACATCGGGGAAGCAAGGTTCCAACACCGGAAAATGGAGAGCACTGTTTACTGATCATCATTTTCTGATGGCTTGTGCGTTTGCAGCTGAGTCAGACTGGCCTGTTCACTCTTGCATGGAGAGCTACCTGCCAGGGGCCAGGAGGAACTGGCAGATTATCTCAACATCTTACACCAGCGCAGCCTGTTATCTGAACATGGACCAGGATCCTGCCTGAGGAAATCAGGGCAGCACAGCTGGTAGAACTGCTTCCCTCCTGTACTGCTCCCCACTCCATGGAGTGTGGATTCAGGTCTCATCTCTGAAATGTTCCCTTCTCATCCCTTTTATGTCACCACGCATCTATATTTCTAAGCAGGGGCATTATCTCTTCTTCCGTTCTACCTTTCAATAAAGCAAACTAAACAAAGAGGTATCAAGCCCCTGAACATCAATGGGGAGAATACACACATATTCTTGGGCTGTCCAAACTATAGACCTAACATCCTGAGATGCAGCAAACACAGCTTCCCTATTGTCCAGGCTACCCCAGCTGAGCTGAAAGGAATGGCCCAGGGGCGGGGGAGAGGAGGATCAGCTGTGGGCCTGATCCCAGCTGCATCCAACCAGCTTTGTTACAGGCAACAAAGAGCAGAAGAAAAGACTTTTGTCCTTCATTGCAAGAGCGACCAACCTCCGTCTCATTGGCAGGGTGACGATTAACCGGAGAGGATTCATTTATTGTTTGGCACTCGAGATCTCCCAGCAGCAGTCCACTCCAGCCTGCTCAAATAATGGGCGGCACCCTGTTTTTGTAAATGACTCAGTCTGGCTTTGTCTCTTTCAGTGCCAGACTGCACAGCCTGGAAGAGCTGGTTGGCAGTGCTGGATGCTGGAGAGATCTCACTGAGAGATGGCTATGGAAAAAAAAAGGATAGAGAAAATGTGTGAAAAAAGACCTGTGCCACGACAGGCTGAAGAGTGAAGTGAGGTCTCCTTCCAGTGAACCTGGAATAAGCAAACAGTGCTGGGTTGACAAGCATTTCATGAGGGCTCCAGCACCCCGTCTATAAAATCCCTTCTGGGAGAACAGGCAACATAGGCTACTTATGTTAGGACCTATAGCCTGGAGTGAGTTTTATGGAAGAACTCTTGACCCCTGCAAAAGGGCATAACATGAGAGCAAAAACAACACCACTGCAGCAGTCTGTGCACTTTCCTGTAAGAGCAAGACCTTCCCACCGGCTCAGCTGGGGAAGAATGAATCCCATTCAGGGACGGAGGCTTGTACCATGGAGGCCTGCCACCAGACACCCCTTCCTGATGCTAATCCTATTCTTCTGCTGTGGATCAAGTAATTTTTGTGTGAGTATTTTTCCTTGGCTAAAGAAAAAAGATATTTAACCACAACAAACCTGCTGCCAGCAAACGTCAATCTTAGCTTCTTGGGTCTATATTATAAGCACCAGCTACCAACTTCTGACTGTCATTTACTTTTTACTGCAGAGGTACCTCACACATTGACACAGATCTCCTGGCAATGCCAGTGTGTTTGCTACCCTCCTGAAAACAAGCATGTGCAGTCCTCCAAGACATGAAAGAAAGTTAATTAGGTTTAGTGCTAGAAGGCAGCAACAGCAATATTTTAAATATCCTCTTGCAACACTTGTTTGGGAGTGCAGGGAAATTCTCTTCGCAAAGAAATACTTTCATTAGGTTGGAGAGTAGAGAAATACAGCCTAATAAGATTTAATCCTTGCTTGGTCACCAGCCTGCCCCTACTCTGAACACCTTAAAACTCCTACTACCCATTCAGGTAACTACCATTCTAGCAGAGGCTAGAGAGGGACAGCATCCTCATCGCATCCTGTTAAACCACTGAGGAAAGGCAAAAGCACCACACTTCCTCCTTAAGCAAAGCTTTGAAATATGCTTTTAAAAATGTTTTTGCAACACTTCCGACAAACCAAATGTTTTATGTTGTGTTATTATTTTTTCTTAAATTAAATGGATGCTAGTAAAATCTTTCTGAGCCATGGCCTGGACCTGACCCAAAAGTGGATTTGTTGCCTGATACCAGCCCTATGACTACCACCACCCAATGAGTCCCCATGCTCAGCCTCAGACAACAACAGAGGAATTGGCAGTTTCTGAGGTGCTTGACCTTGACCAGCACACCCCAGCAGCTCCCACCCACAGCTATCTCAAGGGGAATGAGATGTTCCCGCAGTGTGGGCTGGCACTGTGCAGGGATAGAGAATCTGAGTGGCTCCTACTCACTGCAGTCTCCTCCAACGACCTGTGTCTTATCAGACACATGTCTGATCAGTATCAGTTTGATTGAACCACTGCTGAGAAGTACAATCACCATTGCTTATCCTTGAAAATATCATTGTTTGTTCCATCATCCATTTCCTCACAATTCTGCTTTGAATTTTTCCATGAAAATCTTTCATTTTTCAAGAGCTCTTTGATCCCGAACCTTCCACTTAGTTGCTCACAGTTGGAAAATACTACACTGAAGCAAAACTCATCACAGAAAAACAAAAATACAAAAAAGTATACCCTGTGATTTCCACTGCTCATGGGCTGTTCAGTGATGCCAATAACTCCGAAACAGCATGCCACTGTGAGCTGATCTCGCTAAACAAGAAGAGGGCAAAAGTTATAAGGCCTAATATTGTAAACAATAACCTAGCAGAATATTGCAGCATCATTAGATTCAGGAAAGCAGTGTTACTGCCTGTACTGATTATATGTTAATGAAAGGAAAGCATTAGAATACATGTTAGTTATGGGCTGAACAGGGTGGGAGAGGGCACCCAAGGGCAGCATGTCCCCACACAACACATGACACATAGCTGGCAACACGTTCCTCCAGCACGGGGCTGAGGTGGGGTTCGCCTACTTCTCAGTCCTACTCCCACACTGGTGCTTACCCACCAGTGATGGAAGGATGATTCCCTTGCTCACCAGGCATCTCCCTTTGGTAGTCACTGCTCCCTCCTGTTGCCAAGAAAAACAACATTTCACCAACTTTCTGAATTTTGTTTTATTTTTGCTCTGAGTGTCCTCAGCACACTCATTAGTTCAATCCTTCGAATGAGCTGAAAATGAGTTACAGATGGGCACTGAATGCAACAGAATGCTACTATTTGTTCAAGACCCTTTATGTACATCTCTCACCCAATATGCAAAACATAGCAAGAGCTGGCAAGAGACAGCCAGTCTCCACTGTACTAAAAAAAACTTTCTTAGAATTAGATACATGTATTTCCATCTGATTTTTAGGAAACCAGTCTTGAATGGGAAGACACCAAGTGTGGAAACAAATCAACAAGCAGAGAGGGGAGGCTGTGTATGCTGCTGTGTCAGCTGAGCAGGCAGCACACTGAAACATTAAATACTCTCTCAGCAACATGTCCTTCTTGCTTTCCTCAGCCCATTCCCTCAAATCCCTGCTGCACCATTCATCTCACTGCAATATCCAAAGCAAGTGGTGATTCATGTCTAACTGTGCCTCTGTGCATCAGCACTACAAGGACCTGTGTGCACCATGACCTGGACCTCATCATCTCCCTCTAGAAACTTGGTTCCTGGGTTCCAGCACTGGTATGGCATTACCAGCACTAGCAGCAGGGCACTCACACGTGTGGATGCAGTGACATGACAGCAGGAGGTGAAGGATTTGCCCCAGGAATCAGACAGCAGGCACAATTGCCTTTCGCTGATTAGACATGGTCATAATTTCTAGACATCACCAACAACATTGTGTGCAATATGGTCTGGAGCCCTGGTACCACCTGCAGCCTTATGGCTAGTTGTGAAATCACGTCTCCCCTGTGCCCCCTCAACAGAGATTTACACACAGCAGCATGGTCCAACTGCAGTGTGGGCAGACGGATAGAACAGAACAGAAGATGGCATTATATTTCCATTGGAATGGACCTACAACAATCATCTAGTCCCACCATCTGACCTTTTCAGCATGAATAAAAGTTAAATCTTGTTATTAACAGCACTGTCCAATTGCATCTTGAACACTGATATGTGTGGGCATCAACCACCTCTACAGGAAGCCTGTTCCAGGGTTTGACCACCCTTTTTGGTAAAGGAATGTTTTCTAATATCTAGTCTGAACCTTCCCTGACAGACGCAGCTTTGAACCATTCCCATATGTCCTGTCCCTGCATCCCAGGAAAAAGAGCTCAGCACCTCCCTCTCCACCTCCCCTCCTCAGGAAGCTCTAGAGAGCAAACGAGGTTGCCCCTCAGCAAAGGTCAATATCTTCCTTTGGAACAAATAGACACAAAAACCATATAGGAAATCAAAAGGAGAATTAAATGCCTTATCCTAGGGTTCTATTGCAAGTGGCAGTTTACGGCCTTGAGTCCTGGCATAAGTGAAATGGCACTTGAACTGGTGGTGTTTTCTTCCTTCCATGGCCACATCTAGCTCACATCCTCTTCTAATAATACTGGCAAGAATAATCTGTTGCTGTTATCAAAGGATGGACGTGACCAAATTATTTCTCTATCCAACATATTTTCAACAGCTAGTATCAGAATTTAAGGAACTATAACCAAATCAGGGTCTGGGTGAAGCACCTGAACTTGGGTAAATTCATGGGCCAGTCCTGTGTGTATAACATACTCAGTAAATACAAGGATTCTGTTTTACGCAGCTGCAGACAGTAAAGTGTAGATAGCAGCCCAGCAAATAGATTCTGCAGCTTGTCTTTTCTATGACACTTTGTTAAATACATTATTGCTTCATCATTGCTTGTGGTTTATTTTGGCAAGCCCACAACATCACATTTCTCAAAGTCTTCTGTACCTTAATAAGTCCAAGCATATTTGGAACAGAGAAGGGAAGAAACTAGATGCATTGTGCACAACTGGTAACAGTTTCCTGCCACGCCTGATTAACGGAGTAAAAACAAAACTCAGCTTCTGTTGGAAGAGGTCCCATCCAAGGTATAGGTTGCATAAATTGCCCTTAAGGAAAAGAGGAAAAGGGATGCTTGCTCTGGGGAATTGTTGTGGGGTTTTGTTAAGGTTTGTTTTATTACTGTTTTTTTGAACAGTTTGATTTTACTATGAGGGAGGAGAGGAGGGAATCCTGCCAAGCAGAACTGGGACACTGGTTCTGCTACTACATTTTCTGCCAGCACAACACTTCTGAAGCGGATTTGAATATCCTGGTGTATACATCTTGTTCATCTCCTGTGCAGGGTGCATGGGCTGCATGGGATTCACACTGATGTAGTGCAACAGATCAGTGGTATGACATGGTATTTAGAAATGGGGGAACTACCTCTCTACTAGTCTAAACATGATTCCAGACAGGGAAATTCCCACCTCCTACCCTGCGTCATTTCATCATGCTTGGTTAAATGACGTCATGAAGCCCAGTCACACAATTATGCCCATTTATATGCCAATCTCTGCTGCTGCTCTACACATGTATTTCAAAGAAAAACTATTTGAGTTAAAGTAGCCAATTCTCTGTTGTTCCCTTTCTCTTTTTCTTTTTTATTCTTTATAGAACAGAGGAAAACCCAATTTTTATTCCTGCACAGGTCACTTGCCATTCATTCTGGCAGCTCTTCCTGACTGCAACGCTGTTAAAACTGTACATTGGAAAACTTCTTTCAGGTGTTGCAGTGTACAGTTAACAATAGTAATTGACAACTGTGTCATTTTACACAAAGTTGTCACCCTCTTTTATTAGTATCTATAAACAGTTTCTTTGTTTACCAAGGCAGATTCAGTTTGCCTCCAATAGGAACCACAGACAGCCAGATTGATACCTTCATGTACATTTGCAGTTTCTTTTGAATCCAATTATAAGATCCAACTGTAAATCCAAAAGAAATTAGGTGGCTTCCTAGAGATTTCCTTTGCTATATTTCATC